CGCCTCTGGTCGGCTTGGACAGTTCTGTCGTGCGGAGGGCATCACCCAGTCGTACACGTTGCCGGACTCGCCACAGCAGAATGGGGTTGCTGAGCGCCGCATCGGCTTGGTCATGGAGGTCGCCCGTACATCCATGATCCATGCCGATGCCCCCCATTTTCTGTGGCCGTTCGCCGTTCGCTACGCTGCTCACCAGCTTAACCTGTGGCCACGCTCCCAGCGGCCGCAGGTTTCGCCGACCCTCCTTTAGACCGGGTCCCCCGGTGACGCGTCTGCGTTCCACGTCTGGGGCTGCCTTGCTCACGTTCGTGGCTCTGGCACGGACAAGCTCACTACCCGCACTGTCCCCTGTGTCTTCCTCGGTTTCCCCCTGGACTCGTCTGACTGGCTTTTCTATCACCCGCCGTCTCACCGCTTCCTCCACTCTCGTGACATCACCTTTGACGAGTCCGTCTCCTTCTACCGCCGCTTCCCTCACCGAGGTCTCCCAGTTGCCCCCCCCCTGTTCCTTGCTCCCTCTCCCCCGGTAGCCCCTGCCCCTCTCCCGCCTCGTCCTGCCCCGTCTGGTGTCTCTCACGTCACTCCCCTCCCGTCGGTTGTCCCCGTTGAGGAGTCTGCTGACTCTGGTGGTACCCCCGGTCCGTCCTTGCCGCGTCCCCCTTCCCCGGTGCCTCCGCCCCCATTGTCGCAGTCGCCGACCCCGCTGCCGCCGCCGTCGCCGTCGCTGCCGCAGCCGTCGCCGCTGTCGCCGCCGCCGCAGCCGTCGCGGCCACTGCCGCCGCCGCTCTTGGCCCCTGGGGGTGCTGGTGTGGAGGAGGGTGTTCGTCCTGCGGCTTCTGGGGGTGCCGCTGGTGTTGGAGGGGGTTCTCGCTCTGGGGGTGTTGGTTCTGGGGGTGCTGCTGTTGAGTGTTCTGCCGACGGTCGTTCTGCCTCTGCTGGTCCGAGATTTCCGGCCCAGCCGTCGTCGCCGCCGCAGCAGCCGTCGCCGCCGGTCTCCGCTCTCCGCCTGCTCGGCCTTCCCTCCCCGGACCGCGCGCCGGTGTCTCCCCCACCGCCTGCTGACCTTCCTGTCTACGGTCCAGTGTTCCCGCCGCCGGACTCGTCTCCGGCCCGTCTTCCTCCTCGTTCCCCTCCTGTGTCTCCTCCGCTGTCCCCTGACCCTACACCTCCGTCTCACGTTTGGGCTCGCCGTCCCTCCCGTGCTCGTCCCGTCTCTCCTGTCCTGCCCACCCACCCTATGTTGCTCCGTTCCCGCTCGTCTCGTCCTCCCCTCCTCCCGTCCCCTCCTCCCTCGTCCCTTGCTGTTGCACCTCCTCCGTTATTTGACTACCTCCGTGCTGCTCGTCCCCTTGTCCCTCGGGTCCTTGCCTCTCTTGTTACCGACCCTGCTGTTCCTGTCTCGCGCCTTGACGCGCTTGTCGCTCCTGTCGCTGACTTCGCCTCTACCCGCCGCCTTGACTACGCTACCGCTCTGGTCTCTGACCCTGCCCGTCCTCCGTCCGTCGGGGGTGCTCCTGCCCTTGGCAGTGACGTCCTAGAGGACAGGCAGTACGAGCTGGCTTTCCTTTCCGAGGCTGCTCCCCATCTCTGCTCCATGCTGTTAGTCCCTGAGGGTGACCCAGACGCCTTCGACATCCCGACCCCTCGCACCTACGCTGAGGCCACCTCGGGACCTTGGGCCTCTCAGTGGATAGCTGCCATGGAGCAGGAGATGGCATGTTGGAGGTCCACCGGCACTTACGTCGACGCAGTTCCCCCGCCTGGGGTGAACGTAGTCGATGGTCGGTGGCTCTTCAAGGTGAAGCGCCCCCCTGGAGAGCCGCCTGTCTTCAAGGCGCGCTACGTGGCCAGAGGTTTCAATCAGCGCGAGGGGGTTGACTTCTTCCAGACCTTCGCCCCGACCCCGAAGATGACCACTCTTCGGGCGCTGCTACATGTAGCAGCACAGCGTGACTACGAGCTTCACTCCCTCGACTTCTCTACTGCCTTTCTTCAGGGCAGCCTACACGAGCAGGTCTACCTGCGCCGACCACAGGGCTTCACTCGTACCTTCCCTCCTGGGACCCAGTGGCTTCTAAGGCGCCCGGTCTACGGCCTGCGTCAGGCTCCCTGCGAGTGGCACGACACGCTACGTGCCACGTTAGCAGACCTGCAGTTCTTTCCGTCCTCTGCTGACCCTTCACTGTTTGTGCGTTCCGGCCAGACTCCGTTCTACATCCTTGTCTACGTAGACGACCTGGTCTTCGCTACTCCTGACAGGGACGCATTGGCCTCTGTGAAGGCTGAGCTGCTGAAGAGACACACCTGCACTGACCTTGGAGAGCTGCGTCGCTATCTTGGCCTGCAGATCTCTAGGGACAGAGCAGCACGCACCATCACTCTGACCCAGTCACACTTGGTGCGTCAGGTCCTTCAGAGGTTCGGTCTTCAGTTCTCCTCTGCACAGCCCACACCTCTACCCGTAGACCATGGGCTCTCTGCTCCCGTTCCTGAGGAGCCAGTAGAGCCCAGTGGCCCCTACGCAGAGCTGGTGGGTTGCCTCATGTACCTGATGACTTGCACTCGCCCAGATCTCGCATACCCTCTCAGCATCCTGGCTCGCTTTGTGGCTACAGGCAGACACCGACCTCAGCACTGGTCTGCCGCTAAGAGGGTTTTGCGTTATCTTGCTAGTACATCAGGCATGGGGCTAGTGCTAGGAGGACGCAGGCCAGTGGTCCTTACTGGGCACACAGACGCTTCTTGGGCAGACGACGCTGAGACGCTCAGGTCGTCGCAGGGCTACTGTTTCAGCCTTGGTTCGGGTGCTATCTCTTGGAGATCCACTCGCTCGTCGTCTGTGGCTCAGTCTAGCTGTGAGGCTGAGATCTACGCTGGTGCCATGGCGGCACAGGAGCTCCCCTGGCTGACCTTCTTGCTCACAGACTTAGGTGAGCGGCCTAGCTCTGCCCCGGTCCTGTACGCTGACAACAGGGCCATGATACTCCTGTGTCAGGAGCCTCGGCTTGAGGGCAGAGCGAAGCATATCCAGCTGCGGTACTTCCTCTTGCGCGAGCTACAGCAGCGCCGCCAGGCCCGTGTTGTTCACTTGGCCTCAGGTGCCAACACAGCCGATATCTTTACTAAGGCGCTTGCGCCTAAAGATCATCAGCGGCACTATGTACAGCTTGGTCTAGTTCCTGTAGCTGCTCCCCTGTTAGGATCCTGATTGTGTACTCTCTATTATATATGCTTGTCAGACTGGCCTTGTGGCCTTACCTCCAGTGGCTGGAGTAGTAGTGCCACCTTGGCTTGCTTCAGTTTTGGTTGTATTCTTGCTGACTGGTCGCCAGACCCACGCCTCAGTGGTTGGACTAGTAGTGCCGCCCTGAGCTGTTTGCTTCTTGTTTAGTTTCACCCCTTGTCTAGCCTAGGGGGTGTGTCAACTTATACATATTATCTATGTAGAAGTTATAGGCTAGACTGAGGTATGCTTCTAGTGAGTACAACCAACTAGTATTTGTTCTAGGTTTCCACTTCTAGTCATTATTCGTTCTCACTTTAACACACACTACTGCAAAATTTCCGTCTGATGGTCAGACGAAGCGAAAAAACCCGGCCTGACTTTCAGACGGGCTGAAATCCTAGCGAGGACCCTGATCACGGTATTACTTTCTACTTCGCAATACGATCCTTGCTGTAGTGTGCAGCCTGTTAAAATTATATATTGAGTTATATAATTGTTAGGCTTGGTAGGTTACTGAACTTTACTGTAGAGGGTACAATCCCCTCCTTGTATGCCTCTCTTTCTATTCCAACTCCTTTTCTCTCCTCAACTTTTCTCCTTCCTAAACCTCACGCCACTCCATGGTTCCTCCTAGCTAAACCTTATGTCTTTCCTAGCTTCCTAGCTAAGCTAGCTTTCTAACATGGTATTAAGAGCAAGAGTTCCTCCCTGCTGGACCGCCTCCTCACGCTTCCGCCGCGTACTCCTTGCCTCGTTCGCTCGCGCGACCATGGCGGCCGCGTTGTACAGCAGTGGCGGCGTCGTGATGCCGCTGGTCGCGTCGTGCCGCTGCCGACTCGACGCGCTGCCGTGGCGTCCGGCCACCGTGCTGCCGTCGTAGCGTCGACGTCCCGCCGCGGCGTCGACGCCGCTCTGTGATGGCGACGTCTGGCGGCAGCCGGCCGCGCGACGCCAGTGGCGCCGCTAAACTGCCCACCCGCACGCGAGTAAGCGCCGTGCCGGCAATGGCGCTGCGCTGAAGATCCGAAGTCCCGCCCCTTCCCCCTTTCCTCTGTCCCCTCCTCTTCGCCACAGCCGCCGCAGACTCTCGCCGGTCGCCCCCCTGTCGCGGAGGTTGGACACGCCGCCGGAAGGGCGGGGGCCGCTGCACTCACCGCCGTCGTAAGCCGAAGCCGTCGCCGTCGCCGCTGTCGTCGTCGCAGGCCTTTTGCCGCCGCACGCCCATCGTCGCCGCCGCTGTCGCCGCGACCGGGACTGCCGCTGTCGCCATCTCCAAGGCCTTGTGGGCCCTGTTGGAGTCGTTGTGGCTGATGGGAATGGGGGTGCTAGGTTAGGGGTTGTGGGGGTGTGTGTGGGCTTGTGACTACCAAGCCTAGGGAGTGTGTTAAAATTATATATTGAGTTATATAATTGTTAGGCTTGGTAGGTTACTAAACTTTACTGTAGAGGGTACAATCCCCTCCTTGTATGCCTCTCTTTCTATTTCAACTCCTTTTCTCTCCTCAACTTTTCTCCTTCCTAAACCTCACGCCACTCCATGGTTCCTCATAGCTAAATCGTGTGTCTTTCCTAGCTTCCTAGCTAAGCTAGCCTTCTAACACAGCCGACCCTGTGCAACATCCAAACGCAGCAGCCAAATTTTGAAGCCCGCGCACGTGCCCGATATTGGTCAAGTTGGTTGGCAACGAGGAGGGCACTAGCGAAAACACTGAGTCACCAGTACTGTCGCCGAGCACTGCTGCCAAATCCACGCGGCGTTTGGATCGGACAGAGCCAGACGACTCTGATTTTATTTCGTGCCAAACAATCGCGAGCTGCTCGCGCTGATGTGGCACTCGGCAATTCCTGATATCAGTGTTTTTGTGGGATACAGGTATCAGACTCGATTTTGTTTAGGCAGTTCCTGATATCTGTTCAGTAGGAATACACCCTCAGTGTCGAAGATGTCTGCCTCTTTCTTCAAAACGTCATCATCAAGACAGTGCCTCTGAAACTGTGAAGCAGCCGAGTCATAACGCCGAATGACCCGTCAGCATTCTACATGTTACGGGGTGGTTTACTGTTCACAGGGTATTTACTACTTCGTGAGTCCAAACTTCTTCATAAGTGCCGAGTCTCTGAAGCTGTAGGGCAGCCATGTCATGATGCGGAATGAGCCCACCAGGTGCCCAAACGCCCACTCGATAGGCACCCTCTTGGCCAAGGCTTTCTGGAGGGTGGAGGGGTGGGGGTGGGGAAGACTGAGAGGACAAGTACAAGGAGTCTCTGAAGCTGTAGGGCAGCCATCACATGATGCGGAATGACCTCACAAGGTGCCCAAACGCCCACTCGATAAGCACCCTCTTGGCCAAGGCTTTCGGGAGGGTGGAGGGGTGGGGGTGGGGAAGAGTGAGAGGACAAGTACACGGAGTCTCTGAAGCTGAAGGGCAGCCATGACATGATGCGGAATGACCTCACAAGGTGCCCAAACGCCCACTCGATAAGCACCCTCTTGGCCAAGGCTTTCTGGAGGGTGGAGGGGTGGGGGTGGGGAAGAGTGAGAGGACAAGTACAAGGAGTCTCTGGAGCTGTAGGGCAGCCATCACATGATGCGGAATGACCTCACCAGGTGCCCAAACGCCCACTCGATAGGCACCCTCTTGGACAAGGCTTTCTGGAGGGTGGAGGGGTGGGGGTGGGGGAGAGTGAGAGGACAAGTACAAGGAGTCTCTGAAGCTGTAGGGCAGCCATCACATGATGCGGAATGACCTCACCAGGTGCCCAAACGCCCACTCGATAGGCACCCTCTTGGCCAAGGCTTTCTGGAGGGTGGAGGGGTGGGGGTGGGGAAGAGTGAGAGGACAAGTACAAGGAGTCGCTGGAGCTGTAGGGCAGCCATCACATGATGCGGAATGACATCACCAGGTGCCCAAACGCCCACTCTATAGGCACCCTCTTGGCCAAGACTTTCTGGAATGTGGGGGAGGGGGAAGGAGGGGAAGGATGATACAGAGAGGAGGGAAACAAGTTAAGTGTGGGTGGCTATAAGGCCACCATGCCATAACACGGAATGACCCCACCACCAGGTGCCCAAACGCCCACCCTATACGAACCCTCTCCTTCCCCCACATCATCTCACCCCCACTAGAGCCCCAGCGAACACGTCTCCTGGTGTGGACTGTGGTACTTGTGATGCGCCTGCCCTGGCCTCTAACTAGTGTGCACATGCACATCGAGGCACACACACATGTGTCCGAACCCACTCATTTCCTCACCAACGCACCTCCACTTACGCCCTCACGAGCACGTTTTCCGGTGTGAACTGAGGGGTCTGAGAGGCGCCCGCCCTAGCCACTATCTGCTCACCCATTAGCAGCACGCACACATCTCCTCACCCTTTGCTGTGAACCCACACATTTTCTAAGAGACTCATCTCCACCAACGCCCTTGCGAACACGTCTCCTGGTGTGGACTGAGGCGTCTGAGAGGCGCCTACTCTGGCCTCTATCTGCTGTGCATGCAGACATCTCCCCACTCACTGCTGTGAACCCACACATGTCCCAAGAGAGACTCACCTCCACCAACGCCCTTGCGAACACGTCTCCTGGTGTGGACTGAGGGGTCTGGGAGGCGCCTGCTCTGGCCTCTATCTGCTTCTGGAAGCGAGAGAAGATCTTCAGCTGCAGGTGGGAGACTGACGAGGACGAGTTACCGCCAAAGTTGGACCTGGGGAGGAGTGGGATGCGTGGTAGAGGGGGTAGGGGGATATTGAGCGGCCTCTATCTGCTTCTGGAAGCGAGAGAAGAACTTCAGCTGCAGGTGAGAGACTGATGAGGAGGAGTTACCTCCAAAGTTGGATCTGGGATGATATGTGAGGGCAAAGGGGGGATGGAGCTGATGAGTGGCCTCTCTTTGCTTCTGGAAGCGAGAGACGATCTTCAGATACAAATGCGAGACTGAGGATGAGGAGTTACCACCAAAGTTTGACCTGGGATGCGATGGGATGGGTGGTGTGGGGCGGGGGGGGGTAGGGGCTATTGGGGGGGTTACATACCTGGTGCTCCCAATGCTGTCTACTGTCACTCACATACCTGATCGCACTGGGAGCAACCAACATGACGTGGGGTTTTACAATAAATCTCCCAAGCCATTCTTACCTGATGGCGCCCGTAGCAACGTGCATGAGATGGATACCAAAGGGCTTCAAACTGAGTGGACGCAGTGGACAGCTAAGTGGGCAAACTCGTTGTTGTCCCCCAGCGTTTTGCGTAAATTCGTAAGAGTAAATTTGCGTTTGCGAATTTACCTGAAATTCGCGAAACGCTGGGGGAAAATTTTCCGGGCAGCCCGGACAAAGAAAATGCGAATTTCCCCACTCGGTTCGCGGCCACTTGTCGAAGCCATCCGTGGCCTCGCCAATTCGTGATTCTAACTTTCGAACCTCCAAACATGCTCCCAACCCCTCCCATTCTCCCAACCGCATCAAACCCCACCGCATCTAGATATCCCAACCCATCCACCACCCAACACAACTTACGCAACCATATCACGCATCTCACATGCTACTCTACCAGACGTAGAGTAGATCTAGCTAATCACTCCGCGTCCTAGCTAGTAGATCTAGTAGCTTACCGCATAGACATTAGCTTACCTCACGAGTATGATGTTGCTGTATGTTGCAGCAGGGCTGTTGTTGCGAAGGATCCCCCCCAAACTCTAGAACATGCTATGGCCATAAACTTTGAGAAACAATATTTATTTGTGCTAAAACTTTCTTGCTTAAAAAGAGTTGCCCTGAACCCCCCCACGCCCCCCCTGCCTGGGAACTTTTTTTTGGGCCTGCCCGGGCATTTTTTTCCTGCCCGGGCGGAACGAATTTCCCAACGAATTCAAAACAGGGCCCTGGCGTTCGGGAGAATTTACGCCAGCGTAAATTCGTCAGCAAATTTACGCGAAACGCGAATTTTCCCACTTGGTGGACAGCTCCATCCTCAGGGCATGAGTGATGCTGTGCACAATATTTATTTCTATGCAATATTTGTTCTCTCTGAAAAAAGAGTCTTCTACCAAGCCTGCTACCACATATGGCTAAAACCACCACCAAGTGGTGCTCCCTTCTGCTCCATCCTCAGGGCATGAGTGTGTTAGACTATTCTCCCTTCATTCTATTAGCCTACATCGTTTCATTGTCTTAGGTACTTTATAAGCACCCCACTAGGGTGTATACACCCAAGTTGGGGGTTGGGTTCCCAACCTTGTTGGGTTCCCAAATTGGTTGGGCTCCCAATTATTGGAACCCCCAATAATCCCAACCAAGATTATTGGACCCACCAATAATCTTGGCTAGGATCATTGGACCCCCAATAATTGGCTAGGATTATGGGTCACCAATAATCGTGGTCACCTCCCAACCAAAACCCCCCCCCTCCCTCCTACTCCTCACCTATGTATACCCACTCCTTTTCTAATACAATCATCACTTCAGATTCTCACATGGTTTCAGAGCTTATGGCTCACGCCTCTCCGTCGTTCGATCCCTAGCCACCTCGCGCCCAACGCGCCCCTCCCCGCGCCCTTAAGCGCCCCTCTCCGCGCCTTTAAGCGCTCTTCTCCGCGCCTTTAAGCGCCCCTCCCCGCGCCCTTCAGCGCCCCTCCCCGCGCCCTTCAGCGCCCTTCTCTGCGCCTTTAGGCGCCCCTCCCCGCGCCCATAAGCGCCCCTCCCTGCGCCCATAAGCGCCCCCTCCCCGCGCCCATAAGCGCCCCTCACCGCGCCCACAAGCGCCCCTCCCCGCGCCCTTAAGTAGACATGATCAAAACGCGATTGCGATTTAAATCGCATCGCATGCATGTGCGATGTTTAAAAAAGCGATGCGATTTTAAATCGCATCGCGCGATTTATTTTTCAAAAAAAAAAAATCGCACATCGCATTTTACCCGCGATGTATTAATAAATCGCATGCGATATTTAATTAAATCGCAAAATGCGATTTTAAATCGCATCGCGTTTTAAAACAGAATCAAAAAACACCCCAAAAAAACAGAAAAAAACCATGGCTGCGGGGAAATTGACTCACGGGCAGTCGTAAGCTAGAGTGCAAATAACCAGTGTGGTTTCGTAGTGGGTTTCAGAGTGGGTTTCAGTGCAATATCGCGCGCGATTTTTTAAAAATCGCATATCGCATTTAAATCGCGTTTTTTAAGCGCGATTAAAATGCGATTTAAATTAAATCGCGCGATATTAATTCATCGCATCGCGCGATGATTAAAAAAAAAGAAGAAACATCGCCATCGCAAAAACATCGCCGTGCTTCCCCCCTCACAGCACTGTGCTTCCCCCCTCACAGCACTATGCTTCCCCCCTCACAGCACTGTGCTTCCCCCCTCACAGCACTGTGCCTCCCCCCTCACAGCAATGTGCTTCCCCCTCACAGCACTGTGCTTCCCCCCTCACAGCACTGTGCTTGCCCCTTCACAGCACTGTAATTCCCCCCTCACAGGACTATGCTACCCCACCCACAGCTCTGTGCTTCCCCCCTCACAGCACGGTGCTTCCCCCCTCACACCACTGTGCCTTCCCCCTCACGGCACTGTGCTTCCCCCTTCACAGCACTGTGCTTCCCCCCTCACAGCACTGTGCTTCCCCTGAAGGAACTAGCTTGGAAGAGAAAAGATTGAATTGAGTAGGGAGCCAAGAGGCTCTTTTTGTACAAAACAAGGAGCAAGGAAGAGTTGGAAGGGAAGCTCTCCTATTGGCCATAAAGTGGACCAATGGGGGAGGTTGCTTGTAGGGCAAGCAACCACAAAAGTGTGGTGCTCTCCTATTGGTCACAATGTGGACCAATGAGAGAGATTGCTTGGAAGGCAAGCAACCACAAAGTGTGGTGCTTGGTGATTGGTTGGTTCCTAGGACCAAAGACCATTTGGTTGGAATAGTGCCAACCAAATGTCTAGGACCAAATCCAATCTTGACCAACCCAAATGTGGGGTTGGTCAACCCAACCAACAACCCCCCAATAATTATAATGACTACACCTCCTAATCTAGGCATGCATGTTGTATAGATATATATTTTACAACATCCCCCCTCACAGCACTGTGCTTCCCCCCTCACAGCACTGTGCCTCCCCCCTCACAGCAATGTGCTTCCCCCCTCACAGCACTCTGCTACCCCACTCACAGCACTGTGCTGCCCCCCTCACAGCACTGTACATTCCCCCTCACAGCACCGTGCTTCCCCCCTCACAGCACTATGCTACCCCGCTCACAGCACTATGCTTCCCCCCTCACAGCACTGTGTTTCCCCCCTCACAGCACTGTGCCTCCCCCCTCACAACACTGTGCCTCCCCCCTCACAGCACCGTGCTTCCCCCCTCACAGCACTATGCTACCCCGCTCACAGCACTATGCTTCCCCCCTCACAGCACTGTGTTTCCCCCCTCACAGCACTGTGCCTCCCCCCTCACAACACTGTGCCTCCCCCTCACAGCACTGTGCTTCCCCCTCACAGCACTGTGCTTCCCCCTCACAGCACTGTGCTACCCCACTCACAGCACTGTGCTTCCCCCCTCACAGCACTGTGCTTCCCCCCTCACACCACTGTGCTTCCCCCCTCACAGCAATGTGCTTCCCCCTCACAGCACTGTGCTTCCCCCCTCACAGCACTGTGCGTCCCCCTTCACAGCATTGTGCCTCCCCCCTCACAGCACTCTGCTTCCTCCCTCACAGCACTGTGCTTCCCCCCTCACAGCACTCTGCTACCCCACTCACAGCACTGTGCTTCCCCCCTCACAGCACTGTGCTTCCCCCCTCACAGCACTGAGCTTCCCCCCTCACAGCACTGTGCTTCCCCCCTCACAGCACTGTGTTTCCCCCCTCACAGCACTATGCTACCCCACCCACAGCACTGTGCTTCCCCCCTCACAGCACTGTGCCTCCTGTTAGAATATTCTCCCTTCATTCTATGAGCCTACTTCGTTTCATTGTCTTAGGTACTTTATAAGCACCCCACTAGGGTGTATACACCCAAGTTGGGGGTTGGGCTCCCAACCTTGTTGGGTTCCCAAATTGGTTGGGCTCCCAATTGTTGGAACCCCCAATAATCCCAACCAAGATTATTGGACCCACCGATAATCTTGGCTAGGATCATTGGACCCCCAATAAGTTGGCCAACTCAGCTTATTGGGGTCACCAATAATCGTGGTCACCTCCCAACCAAAACCCCCCCCCCTCCCTCCTACTCCTCACCTATGTATACCCACTCCTTTCCTAATACAATCATCAATTCCGTTTCTCACATGGTTTCAGAGCTTATGGCTCACGCCTCTTCGTTCGATCCCTAGCCACCTCGCGCCCAACGCGCCTCTCACCGCGCCCTTAAGCGCCCCTCTCCGCGCCTTTAAGCGCCCCTCCCTGCGCCCTTAAGCGCCGCTCCCCGCGCTCTTATGCGCCCCTCCCCGCGCTCTTATGCGCCCCTCCCCGCGCCCTTAAGCGCCCCTCCTCGCGGCCTTAGTCGCTGCGATTTCGCGCGGCGCTCGTGCCGCATTTCGTTGCGGCGCTCGGCCGCATTTCGTTGCGGCGCTCGTGCCGCATTTCGACGCGGCGCTCGGCCGCATTTCGACGCGGCGCTCGTGCCGCATTTGGAATCGGCGCTCGGCCGCATTTCGACGCGGCGCTCGTGCCGCATTTCGACGCGGCGCTCCTGCCGCATTTCGACGCGGCGCTCGGCC